TACTTCACACAATACTCTATTCTGGCACGTAACTAACGCCTCGGAGTGGACTCCGGTCGATGAACTTGTCTTGCTTCTGCATGGTAGCGGATATGCCACATTTGGACTGACGTCGTGGAGGCTTTCCCTGTCGTGCAGCTAAAACTGACTCTCTGCAAGTCGCGTTGGATGTCGAGGATCAAGGATCCAGATTAGACGAACGCCACGGCTAGTGAGACCAGCCACCTAGATGAAGCGATGATAGGACACGCTGACTGGTTCCAAGTACTACGCGGTGCTCCCAGTTCCACAGGACTGTGTGGCGGCCAACTTGCTCCTTGTCTGAGAAAGTCATCAGCTGAAACGATCACCAGCTGCCAGAGCCGCAAGTTGGATTGTAGAGCAAAGTGGATGCGGGCCCTAATAACAATTTAGCCCGGAGTGGCCCAACGTCTTCCTGCTCCATGCTCATCAGTGGGCCGAAGGGATAATAAGCACCGAGCAGCCTAGCCATGTGTACGGAGTTTTTGCACGGCAAATTGTATCCTACGGGTGTGTTAATAGACTGACCTAGATCGGTGGTAAACCCGCGCGGGCTACCTTTCCCGGACCTATTCGGGCGACCATCCAAACCTTAGAGAGGAGGAGATAAGTGGAAGCAAAATAATCCGGACCATTCCACCATTTTCTGCTCCGCACTCATTAGAGCCGAGAATGAACCGTTCATTGTCTGGACCGAATGATCATACCTAGGTAGGTAGTTATGGTTAGGTTTAGAATAGTACTCCGGATTCGAGACGAAATCATGGTTATTTGCAGTTGGATTTGCGTGCCAAGTGGTGGCTTCCAATTCTCCTAGATCGAATTGCGACCAGTTTTGGACCCAATCATCAGTCATCATGAATAAGCACGCGTCCCCTGCCCACTGCCTTCTTACGCAGGAGCGCGTGCCGAGGCACCCTTTGGGGAAGGAGCCAGGAAGACCGCTTGCCACGGCAAGGCAAGACGACCCTGGGAGCCTTCCCTTTACCCCTCCGTTGTTTGTCGAATGCCCATTTTCTCATTATTTTCAGACGGGGGTTTTTTTTTATATAAAAAAAAAAAAAAAAAAAAAAAAAAAAGACTAAAACGAATTGCAACGCGAGACACCATTTTCTGCTGTCTCTTGCCACTTGCAACCAGAACTTCGGACCCAACTCATTCCATTCCTCCTAGTAATGACAGCAGCCACTCTTACAGGTGATCATGGATGATGGTCTGGTGCGACGGAGAAGCCAGGGCATTGTGGATTTGGGCGGCGTTTGGGTTGGAGATCTGGTGACGGCACTTGCAAAGTAAGACCAACTTTACTCGAAATTGATACGAGCAGCACTGACCCAGCACCCGGGTGGAGGCTGTCTTGCTATTTCATCCTTCGACCCCGACAAGATCGCCAATGCAGATGATGGATCAAGTGTGACACTAAGACGACGAGGCGACATGACCCCGGTTTGAAGACTTCTGCAGCGACTGACTCTCTCCTATGCACACATGGCGCTTTTCAGTTTCTCTTCTGGCTTGGACATTGAAAAGCCCAAGAGCCGTTGCCCACCACCTTTCACCCCTGCCTAGCGCCCTGCCTCGTGGTGGCCAAGCCCGTTGCCATGCTGCTGGGCTGGGTCCTATAGCCGGGGTATTTCACCCACTCAGACTCTCTCACCGCGGACCACGAATTGATCTGTTCGCACAGCTTTTTGGCTTCTGCTGAACTTGGGACGGCTTGCCGGATCTGAAAAACTTGGAGTGGGCCCTGGACTCCCGTCTTCGGGGCAGCCTGTGGGTCTGTGGATTGCTGAACCCAATTGACTACGGACGGTATCACTGCTACACCACCTTGATTGAGCATTGTCCACTACCCATCCACCGACAAGCGAACGGCGATCGAACATTCTCTGCGGTTTGGCGATCTATCTCTCACATCTCAGCCCTGTCCAGATACTGCACATTCCACCAATTTTAGGATATATTCTGCTGCTGTGCTTAAAAATCTCAATTCACGAGATGTGGTAATGAACCAGGCCCTTGAGATTAGCCAGGCCACAGACCAGTAACGCGATGCATCATCCTATTCTCAGTACCCACGAGCTCGATATAACCCCGGGAATAACTCAATGACCTGCTCCGGGACTTTTTCTTTTTAGTTTAATATTGTTCGACTCGATGTAGTAACTTCCGAGAACTTGGCGAACACATGAACTGAACAGCTGGGCTGACCTGGATCATTGCATTATGTAGCCCAGTCGGCGGGCTCCCGTTTTCCTTGAGCTTCTTCCGTTCTTGACAATCTTGCCGACACTAGCGAGCCCTGGAAAGTTATTCTCAGGCTGATCGGAAATACCTGGAGGCAGAAATGTGTCCATGGACTATATCAGTTTGCCCTACAGCAATGGACTTGGCCAGTATTCTGAACTTGTGAAAGCGCTTCACTCCCGATGAAACTTCAGTCGGATTTCTAGTACCTTACCGTTTCAATTGGGAACATACATAACCAGCTTTAAGTCAACCCATGTCCCTCCTCACGTTTGGCCTGCTAAGCCTGGTTAGTTGGCGAGGCACCCTCAATAACCCAATGTCCACAAAAGAAAGTCTACGTGGCTGATCCATCGATTGGTGTGCCTAGCTAATAATCCGAAGACTTTCTGCTTCTTGCCCATGAGTGCATCTGGGCCAAACTGATAATGTGAGACGGTCGAAAAAACACACAAGAACAAGGGCATGAAGCAATGTTGATGTTAAATTTGTCCAGGATCGAGCACCACGACATTCTATACCATTGTATAGCCCTAACGTCCCTACCGAGCTTCCAGGACAAGCCCTGCCGGATCACCTCACTGTCAGTTTGTGTCCGTCGTGCTCTTGACAGCGCTGGATTTAAGACCGACTAGGGCCAAATGTCCATAATTCAGAGCATAGTTATTATCCGGAGCCCATCTCGCCATCCCCACTAGCTAGCTCCCATCCCATGTTCGTTTCAATTCTTTCGACTCGCAATTGGGTGACAAGCTCCCAACACATTGAATAGGGCCTGGCTATCCGTGCTCTGCGTACTCCGTACATGCATGACTATTTGAATTCGGAGTAAAGGTCCCATTGCCAATGTCGTGCTAAGCTGACACTTTCCGCACAGGCTTTGCTTGCCCCAGACGCACGCACCCAGCAGTTGGACTCGAATTCCGCTGTCACGTTTCCCTGTGGCGCTAAAACCGCCAGGCCAGGTTCTTGAGGCGTTCATCGCTCTGTGTCAACAGTGTTAACAGCAAGCGAGCATGATACTTCCGTCACCAAAATCTGAGTATGTGTCTATGTGGCTGATACCCTGGCAAAGGAACTGCCAGGCAACATAAACCACAACACAATTTACGATCGTGCCACGGAGACAAGCCAGCCAGTACCTCCTTTACTCGCCTCTTCGCCATCACACACCCTTCTCAGCAGTCTCTAAATGTCTCCTATCCCTGTCTTCCATGTGCACAGTATGCCCGCCCACTCAAACACCACTCTCAATCCCGAATGCTCTCCAGCGCTGTCAAAGTCGCGATATTCCCGATCCCTCCAATCACAGCCCCTTCCAGAAACAAGTCCTCCTTTAATGCGCTGTTCTCCATTCATCTCCCTCTCTCCACTTTGTATTAGGTTGGTCTGGCGCATGTTGAGAGCAATGCCATGAGTCGTTCCCTGCCGTCCACACACTTTCTCTCGTAAAGCAGTTCGTTTGTGGCTTTCCTCCAACAGTCTGTGACATTGTCAATACTCCTTCGGGTGTGGGATACCAGCTGTGTTGGCCTCCGGCTGCTGAACTGACACCGTACGGCTAGAAGCGAGACATGACACCCCCCACCCCTACCAACTTGATCTCCATGTAGTAATTTGTATTTGGTGCTCGTTTCCGGCCCCGTTCCCCCAATTCTAAGATGTCTTAGGCGTTTATTACAGATCACAAATCTTACACAAAGAGAGCAAGGACACCGAGGGCACTGAAGACAGAAATTCGAATCCACCGTGGAAGGCTTATTTTGAGACACGTGGATATCGAGATATTGTATGTGAGATGCATTTGGCAGGGTAACAATTTGTCCATTTATGACATACCACCCTGGTGTCATTGAGTTTTAGCAGTGGTAAAGTCGGCATACAGTACCTTGATTCAAACGCCCAGGCTAGGATTGTCCCCGACACCCTGCTTGCCAACCCCCAGCATCCCCTGCTTCTCTTTTTTACCTCCAATGCTCCAGCAGGTCTGCCAGTCACACAAGACCTGACCCTGAGGTGCCGATCAGCCTTTTGTCCCGAGCTGTCGCTCTGTCGTCTACTTATGCTCTGGACTTGGTCATTCTTCCAACTATCCCTTCTCTGACGGCAGCAACCTTGGCTACAGTCCTCCGACGCCCCTCCGGATGTTTGTCGCGCCAAACGTGCTACAATCACTCCCTGGATTCTCAAACCAGCTCGACATTTATTCACAGGCTTTTGGGGACCCGTATCACTAAGCGCCCTGATATTTCCTCCTTTGGGGTATCACGGTGCTGCACTTCGTTTCACACCCGCTGCCCTGGATCAAATCTGTTATATGAACTCTAGGCACCGTTGTCCACCATCTCACTCAGCCATTATCACTACAAAGAAGCATATTGTCCTTCCGTGATAGCCACGTTTTTACGATTGTGACGTGGATCTGCGGTGCTTTTTTGTCGTCAGAATCTTCCCCGAGACACCGCATTGATTGTCGTTGTAGACAACCGCACTTAACTTACCGTCTTCATCATTACTGCCAGCAGGGTGGCATCCGTAATCAGGAGCGTCTGGTTTCTGAGCTCCCGAAGTCTCATGCGCTGTCATATATTGTCCTTCTGTCCGGTAGTACTGAAACGCCACTCTCTCAGTCGGGCCAAAATATTGGAAAACTCGCGAGAGGATTTCGAGACTCCGAGACCACAACTTCTATCATCGAAGGGAGAAACCAGGAATGCTGTTTTGCTGTTTCCATGCTGTCTACAAGCCGCTCCCTAGACACATCCTCATCCCTTCTGAGCCCTCAACCTAGTCTACTGCTCCTAGACTGCGGTTCCGACCATACGCTGGCTTGGGACACCGAAAGTGCAAAGGCAGAGATATCTGCTCGCGCACCGGCGTATCCCTCTCCACCCATGTCAGGGTCTCCTCCTCTGCCGCCGAAAGACCCTCGAAATTTCTATGACCGAAGTGAAGGCTTTGGCGCGTATTCCACAAACAGCTCGCAAGATGTTTATACAACGAATTCGGGACAGCCACGACCAGTAGATCTACGGTTACAACTTCCGCCGCCGCGACGGCCACCACCACCACAATACCACCCTCGCATATCTGTACAATATCAGCCAGAATCAAATATGGAACCCCCGTATGGATATCAAGGACCGGAGGGACGGACGGTACAAGCGGCTTTGTATTCGTCACGCGAACCTCCTGACGTCAACAAGGGACAACATCTTCAACCGTATGGCTCCACGGCAGCTAGCACCAGTTCTACAAGTCAGCAGTCCGTAGAGAGCGGGCCCAATTCGATAGAAAATCAATCGATGAGCTCTCCTAAGTCTCAGCGCAAAACCAAAGGTCACGTTGCCTCAGCTTGTGTTCCCTGCAAAAGAGCACACCTCCGGTAAGCATGCCCTTGAGATCTTGCTTCCTTGATCACCATACAATATTTTAACACTGTACAGATGCGATGGTATGTGATCTATATTATTTGGTTTTCTTTCCAATCTCAACATTGTATCGTTTTCCTTCCCCCAAGAATTTTGCATGTCTTCGTTATCGGGCCCGTCCATGAGCTGTGACCAGAGACTTGACACTGTATTTCTAAAAACCACTAAGCCGGGGGATGGAGTCCCAGTGAGCTGTAACATGCTTTGCCTCTGCTAGAACACGAAGTGATGCTGTATACAAACATATCGCTCAGTTGCAACGCGCAATCTAGTGTCACTGTTTATAAGCAGAGTGTTCTCATACCTTGGGGTTGCCTGAAAATTATTTCACTGCTGACTTGATTAATAGCACAGCGGCCATGCTCTCGGTGTATGAGTAACGGAAAAGAAGATTCCTGTGTTGACGTACAGCACAAAAAACGTGGGAGGCCTCGACTACGAGATGACAGAGATGCTCGGTTTGATCCTTTGCGACCGCCTCACTCCCAGGATGTGTCTCCAAGACGCCCTTTGAGCATTTATCCCTCTACTGGTACTGGCCCTCCTTTATTTGACGATCCTTATCAGAGACATCCATCATTTCGGCAGCCAGAGATATCGACCGGTAATAGCTTCTCGGCAAGGCCTGGCGAACGAGCATCGTCATCGGATTCGAATAGTTATAACACTTCTCTTTCAGCTACGCCGGGATCATCAGAGCCTGTTGCCTATTTGACTATGGCCCTCGAATTTGTTAAAGGCTCTGTATCGTTCTGGGACGCGGCTGGTTTGCCAAACATGGCTGGTCGCAACTTAGGGGATGTAGTCTTGCCCGCCGAGCTCGAAAAGGTGTCACAAATCCAAAGCCATTTCAATAGTGAGCAGAAGAGACGGGAGCCAAATTATTTGCCTCCAATCCTAGGCACCGGCTCTCAGAGTATCCAGGGACTTGGGTTTACTATTGAAGATTTCGGGCGGTTTCCGCTGAACTTTCATGATCATATGGCATTTGTGGGCGCAAATGGCTACGCCCGACCAATGGCAATTCGTGCGGGCCTGGCAAAAGAAGGCTCCTTTTACTTTATTGTATTGCTACTTAATATCCCACCAAGACAACCGCCGATACCCCCGACCGCCATACTACCCAGAGCGCAATCCAATCTACCGTACAAACGACCCAACCCAGAGATATTGTTTACACAACGTCCACCCTTTGATCCTATCCGGAATCGATCCAGCGAGAATTTCCACACAGCTAGTTTAGCTGCAGAACCATCTAATCCTCGAAGACCAGCGGGTCTTGTAGAGCAGGGTTCAAATCAAGCAGGACGACAATATGAAGGAGCAATGGAGAGGCAACCTTACACTGGACGGTCATATCCAACTACCCAACAAGAAGCCGCTGGGCAAAATTATACGAGCCTGCAACAAGGCTTTCGGCTTCCCCCTATACGATCTCGAACGGAACGACCAACGCTTCGTGAACCGGCGACCTGGAACCGTGGCGAACGGTCAAGCCGTGTTGACATAGGGGTCTTGATAGACAAACCGGGAGATCCCACAAGATTTCGAGACGAACGTTGCCCTTGAAATTTTTTGAAATTTTTGAAAATCAGTGTTCGGTTTAAATGGATCCAAGTCCAAGAAAATCACAAGGTAGCAATTTGCCTCTCGAGTTCTGGCCGTAAAGGTTGCGGTTGTGAAAAGCTTTTCTTGATTTTGAATCAGCCAAGACCGCCAAAATTGATACGCATTCGGCTAGACGCGTTTACATCGACCATCAGACAAAGAATTATTCAACGAGCTGTGGAGAGTGAATGACAAGAGCTTTGATGAAGCGATGTTTAAAACGACTACCTACGAATTGATGTGACAATCACCCCGATTGAAACTGCAGCATGTACAGCAGGAGTTGGGCACGAACGAACTAGCCATAAGGTGCCACGGACGCCTATCACGGTCACAACATGTCTTGGATGTGGATGATACATTGTGGCTGAGGGAGTAATTGGCCAGATGTCATTTATACCGATGATTTTAGACCATGCTTTTTGTTATTATGAAATTTTGAAAGCATGAACAACGATGACAAGAGAATTTAACAAATATTCAGCCGTGGGCTTGTTTTTCGAAGCTACCTCCCTTTTTGGATGGCTGCGATCTTTGAGCAGCCTCGTCTATGACAATGAGGCTCTCGGAGAAAGAAAGTGAAGAGATAGATTTCTACACTATTGGAAGACGTTTCAAGCAAGGAAATCAGAAGCTTCTTTAAAATTTCAAATTATTCATAAATGACATTATCAAAGGACAAACTTGGTGATATCCGTTCAGGTATTCCGTCTTGGCATATGACACATTCTCAGCTTTATGACGTCTGGTACACGTACATACCTAGCTTTTGCTTAGAGAGCGACGAAAGATGAAGCATGAGGAGCAGAGCGGAGAACTAACTGTCAAGCACGCAGGCAGGACAACTCCGGGCAACCAGGCAGGGACCTTGCACTGGAGACATGCTCGGTAAAGGAAGACAATGGAGAGCCATTGCCAGATTTGCCGAGTGTGTTGTGTTGGTTCGTTGGCCAACCTTCATGTTGGTGAGCAAGCTCTGCAACTTGGTCCAGACCAGGAGGAAGGAAGTATCAAATAGGAGTAGCAAACAAGCGCAAGCAGAAGCAGGTTAGAAGCACAAGCACGAGCACGAGCACAAGCACAAGCACAAACACAACATGAAAGCCGCAGCCCAACATCCTTGCCAAAAAAAAAAGTGACGGGTCGTAATCGGATGATTGAAAAGCTCGCATGGCTGAGCGGGCTAGTAGTCAGTGGCCATGCGAGGTCCGAGCCAAGGCAGACAAGTTGTTTGATTTTCTCCCTTCACCCCCGCAAGGGAAACACCCATGGGGACTAAAATTGAATGCATTCGATGATGCCCCAAGGGTTCCGACGTCACGCATTTGGACGTGGACGAGGAGATCTGCGCTAGCCAGGTTGCCAGGATGGAAAGCATCCAAGCATCCCACAGCCATCCACAGCCATCCCAAGGGTGTGGTACATGGTCCAAGACAATTGGGGGATGGGGGATCCAGGTCGGCAGGGTCCAAAAACCCCGGCCCAATGGAATCTCAACAGTGGGGGCCAATTTTATCTTTTTTGGAGGCTTCAATGAGCAAATGAGCGACCTGGTGTTGTCATACGGAATCAGTAATGGCGTGATGTCTCGATGGTGGTTTGTGTGGCGTGCGGATAGTTTTGCGTGGCTGCTTCTCCAAGCCTGCAAGGGAAAGAAAGGGAGGGGAACGTGAATGTGCATCTGTGGCACGCGGCGACGGCGCCGGCAGATAAGATCAATCCCTTCTCAAAAGACAGCGACGGTTTGCAATGCCGCGGTCAGGACTCAGGGATATGTCCGTTGGGCCGCTGGCGACCGGACCAGCCGTTGGCACTTGGGACGGTTGCAGACTAGTACGCACGTATTCAACAGGCCGGAGACAAAGTGACATCCCGTCGTTAGTTACCCCCCGTTTCCACACGAGGACAATGCGTCAACCCCGAACTTCTGCATGATACCTTCACAAGAACGGACGAACCTGGGCGGCGACAGCTTGGCAGCGAAAAATGGGCTGCCCGCACTTGGTGTGCATCCCCTGTTAGTCCCGTACTACGCGGGATGCGCATGGGGCACAGTCACGTGCAGCCGCGGAAGCCTCGCGTCTCTGCGGGCCCCGCGAAGCTTGAATATTTATGAACCCCCACTCTCACCATCGCCCATTCACGCCACCCCCCCTTGTTCTTGTTCTGTCTCCTCTTGTCAGCATTGCCTCCTTGAAACAGTTGTCTATTTCTGGACGGGATTGCGGCTTTCCCCGAAGCCTTGTCAGTGTTTGGTCCGTGCTGCCGCATGGCCGGATATTGAGCGGTACGCAGCCACACGTTAGTTTTGGTGCGCTGGTGGCACTGGTTGCACACATCCCTTGAAGTTATCGTGACTACTCATCGGCTTGGTGTATATTAAGGACATGGAGGAAATGGATCTGGATGCTCCTGCGGGTACGAAACGCAAGGCAGATGACATTCCGGACGATCCTCGACCCGCTCGGCGAATTAAGGTGAATTGACATTTCGTTGTCCGGCCCCTTTCTGGGTGTTGCCCAAGGGGGGGAAGAAAAAAAATGACAAATGATAAACCATGCTAATCGTTCTGCCCCGACTGCAAATTAGGCGTTGGATCCAGACGTCGTGAATAAGATTGCAGCCGGCGAGATTATCGTCGCCCCTGTGCACGCTCTCAAAGAACTCATCGAGAATGCCGTGGATGCCGGCTCTACGGCGTTAGAAATCCTCGTTAAAGATGGCGGGCTGAAGCTTCTCCAGATCACAGATAACGGCTGTGGGATTGAGGTATATACATTATCTCTTACTGGCATTTAGTGCTTCATCGCCCTGGTTCGACCGACTTTGCTGATATGGATAATAGAAGGAGGATCTAGCCATCCTGTGTGAACGCCACACTACATCCAAAATCACAGCATTCGAGGACTTGTCATCCATAGCTACTTATGGCTTCCGTGGAGAGGCCCTGGCTAGTATAAGCCATATTGCCCATCTGTCAGTGTCCACCAAGACAAAAGATTCACCATTGGCATGGCGCGCACATTATTTAGATGGCAAGATGGTTGCTCCCAAACCCGGCCAGCCCGCGGAGCCTAAGGGAGTCGCAGGTCGACCAGGGACTCAAATCACAGTGGAAGACTTGTTCTTCAGCATCCCAACTCGAAGAAGAGCCTTCCGATCCTATTCTGATGAATTCAATAAAATCATCGACATGGTTGGCCGCTATTCCATCCACTGTCAAGGCGTCGGTTTTACTTGCAAAAAGGCTGGTGAAGCTTCCAACTCTTTGTCAATCCAAAGCCAAGCTACTACGCTGGATAGAGTGCGTCAGATCTATGGAGGCAGCGTCGCCAATGAGTTGGTAGATTTTTCAGCGTCCGATGCACGCTGGGGCTTCAAAGCTCACGTCCTGGCGACCAACGCAAATTATCATATCAAAAAGACGACTTTTCTCCTCTTCATCAACAACCGCAGCGTCGAGTCTGCAAATGTCAAAAAGGCAATCGAACAGACCTATTTGAATTTTCTGCCAAAAGGCGGCCACCCTTTTATCTATCTGAGTTTGGAAATCGACCCTGCACGAGTCGATGTCAATGTTCACCCAACAAAACGGGAGGTTCATTTCCTGAATGAAGATGAAATCCTTCATGCAGTTTGCACCGAGCTGGAGTCACGTTTAGCAAATGTCGATACTAGCCGAACTTTTAAAACGCAAACCTTGCTTCCCGGAGCAAAACCCGTAGCTGAATCCATAGACGAGAATCAGCCATCTCCGAGAATCATGGTGACGGGTAAGAGAAGGCGTAATTCAAATGATTTGGTCCGAACTGATACGTATGCACGCAAAATTACCACCATGTTCTCCCACGCTGATAGTGGTGAGGCATCCAAGGAAAAGTCTACAGAGGAAGAGCCACTGGCGGTACCTGAAAATATCGAATACGAAACAAATGACCGAGAGATGACTATATGCCGGTTAAAAAGTATAAAAGAACTGCGCAGCGAAGTACGAGACAACATACATCACGATTTAACTGAAATCTTCGCATCACATACATTTGTTGGTATTGTAGACGATAGTCGAAGACTGGCGGCTATTCAGAGCGGTGTCAGGCTATACCTGGTAGACTACGGCCACACATGTTTTGAATATTTTTACCAAGTGGGACTTACAGATTTTGGGAATTTTGGCGTTATTCGATTTAGTCCCGCCTTGAAACTTAGAGACCTCCTTCAAATGGCAGCCGAGACCGAAAAGAAAGTACTAGGGGCAGCTGACCATGATTTCCCCGTGGAGAAGATTGTTGATAAAGTTGCCAATCAACTCATTGAGCGTAGGGAAATGCTACACGAGTACTTTTCTCTTGAAGTATCGCCGACAGGCGAGTTGGTTTCCATTCCATTGATGGTGAAGGGTTACACGCCCCCATTGTCAAAGCTCCCTCGGTTCCTGCTACGACTCGGCCCCAACGTCAACTGGAACGATGAAAAGGAGTGTTTCGACTCTTTCACGCGAGAGCTGGCCACATTTTACGTGCCCGAGCAGTTACCCACCCCGCCAGCTCCAGGTGAGGGTGAAGATGAGGAGGAAATTCCCGAGGAGATGAAGACGAGAAGGCAGCATGTCAGATGGGCAGTAGAGCATATATTCTTTCCGGCGTTCAAAACAAAGCTGGTGGCGACAAAGGCGCTCATGGACGGGGGCATTCTGGAAGTTGCGAGTTTGAAAGGGTTATACAAGGTGTTTGAGCGGTGCTGAGGAGTTTAAGGCGTCGAGATCGGCAGAGCTACAAAGTATAGTGCTTTTTTCCCCCTGTTTGGTGAAAAACACGGTAATGTAATACATCGCTGGACAGGATTCCTTGTTCATAATGCGGAACTGCGAATGCTTCCAGTGAGTCAACTTTTAGTCTTTAGTCTACTATCCTAATGCATATGATTCATGCTAAGCCCCTCTTAGCGAACAAATTATTGCTAGATTGCGGCATGGCTCATTCATAATTCATTCGCCTCCACCTCCTTCTCTCTCTCAAGAGCCGTTCACGTCATCGGGCTTGTTCTTCTTCTTGTACGCCAAGAATCTTCCCAAGTTCATCACCGCCTCGTCCGCGCGGGCCCTCAGCTCAGGCTGCGTCTTTTTGTCGACACTCTTCACCATTGCTCGGGCCTTGGGCATCACGGCCTCAAGCTGATTTAGGAAATTATCCTTCCAGAAAACCTCCTCGTCGTATGCGAATTCCTCGCTGCCGTAAATATCAAAAACCTGGTTCAGTGCCTCAACAGCATCGGCGGCGGGTGTATCAGGCAGTCCAGCGAGGAGGGTGATAAGGAACGTGCCGATTTCGCGGTTCAGTGGCGCTGGGGCAGGATCGATGGCGAGCTGGCCGAGCACTCCCACGCATTTGACGCCAAGTCGCTGGAAAGGATCTTCGGAATCCTGAGGTTCCATGGATTTGGTGGCCTGGTAGAGGGAGATGAATTTGCGGTGCTCGTCGCCCTTGAGGGGTGTGTTGCCGCCGAGGCTGCGGGATACAGCCCATGCGAGGCCGGTCACTTGCGTGGCGAGATTGACGTCGGCGGTGTCGCTGGAGAGAATGGGGGTAATGACTTGTTCCCACAGGGTGCAGCCGACGGGGGCCCAGGCTTTTTGGATGCCGGCGTTTTGGTCTACAGAGAAGTCGACGAGTGAGACAGACCAGGCAATGTTGTTGAGGGCGGAGAGGGCGTGACCATGGAGTTGCAGAGAGTCATTGTTGGTTGGTTGGAAGGAGGAGATGCGGATGAGTTCAGGGAGGGCAGTTTGGAGAAGGGCTTTTAGGACGGGCATGTCGTCGATGTCGACTTTGTCGTCGTCGCCATCTACGCCAGTTACCATTTCCATATCTGCTTCCATTGCATCCTGGTCCATTTCGTCGTCGTCGTCTTCTTCATCCTCGGCGCCAGAGCCGCCTGCATCGGCATCATCCATATCCTCATCGTCTTTGGGTTCCTCGGCTTTAGGCTTTGCGGGGACTGGCGCGTCCACGTTGGCAGAGTTCAGAGTAGTGCCAATGGAGGCCAATGTTTCGAGAGCCAGCCGCTGCAGCTCCAGTGGGTTTGACCAGCCCTGACTGCCATTGGCAGCATGTTGATCTGGCTGAATAGTCGCAATAGTCTTGGTAAGTGTGGGAATAAGTACAGAATCGTCTGCGCCGGTAACATTGGGTGCATCCTTGAGTCCCTCAAGTGCAGAGAAAACATTGTGAAGGATGGCACAAGCTAGGACGCCGTCGCCGGTGACCTGGTTCTTGAGAGATGACATGACCTGATAACACCTAGAGTGGGCGACAATCTTCTTGGCCAGATTTCCATTTTCTTCGGTAAGAATCATAAGACAAGCCAAGGCGTCGCCTCGAAGGCTTGAAACACTGTCGGATTCGTCATCGTTAGTGTTGGATTGGGCAACAAGGACGAAGAGGAAGTCAACAATGGTGACGTTGGAGGATATGGCTTCAAGAATATCGTCAGCAGCCTCGGCCAATGCAGTAAGCAAGGCAATCAGAGACGCGGAAATGCTGATGACAAAGGACTTTTCTGGCTGGGAAAGCTTCGAGGAGCCAGCACCGGTGGACAGTAACTTTTCCGAAACATTCTTAGCAGCGTGTCCGATAGCTGTCAGAATATCACAGCGGAACAGGTGCACGCAAAAATCAGCCTCCTCCTCCTGAGCCAAGCCCTGTAAGATGCCCCATCCAGCAGCTCTACTTTCGAGAGCCGCATCTGTCAGGGTCTGTGTGAGGATGATGTGGACGATTTGTTCCCGGAGCATGAGCTTGCGGCACTTGGTATCCTCGATGATGTTGGCGACGGCGGCGGCGGCGGCAGAGCGAGACTTGGGGTCGGGATTCTGAAGGTCGTTGATGATAGGGATGATCTTGGCTTCTCGAAGAGCAGCGAGCTCAGGGTCTGAGGGTGCCTTGACGGGTTTGGCGAGGGGATCTCGACGCTGAGAGGCACCAGCTCGGTTGCGACGCGATTTACCCATGGTGTGCGGGATGGCGGTGTCTAATTTGGTGAAAAGTTTTTTTTTTTTTTTTTTTTTTTTTTTGGGTCCCCAGTCGTCGTACTCTGTAGCTATGTGAAGGGAGATAACGAAATATAGACGGAAGAGAGGCGGTGCTGGTGCCAATTGGCAGCGTGAAGGCTCGACGCGGGAGCTTAGAGCTTACAGACGCAACTTTTTTTTTTGTGTCTTGGTGTTGTTGCCCATCGTCACCGACGACCCCACAGCGGATGCCCCGCTGGGTACAGAGTTAGATGTGGCGTCAACGGCGACGACAGCGGGACTTCTGCGGAATACTTCCTTCGTAAGTTCAACATGGTCTGGCCAAAAATCAGCTGCCTAAGTGGTCAACTTTGGCATCTGATGCAAAGTGCCCGCCCAGGGCCCTGAAATGTCCCGTCATGTCTTGGCCGCGTTCCGATATTCAAGTCATGTTTACGCCGCAGTCTCACCACATGGGCCCAGGGTTTGAGACACCAAGACCAGCATTTTCATCCGTAACGCTGGCGTGGTTCCAACCTGTTCATCGTCTCACTGTCCCCCATCGGATACCAACCCAAGAACCAGGTATCTGGGCGCTTGCCCAGTTACATGATCCCTCCACTTCTGTACGGAGCACTAGTACACACCAACACCATGCAACGCACACCGTGTACCGCACACCGTACACCGCACACCGTACACCGCACACCGCACACCAGGCACCGTACGCCTGTTCTGCACACCTTCCCACTCACCTGTTCTACTTACATCTGTCAATTTTGCGTAAACCCAATCCCTCTTCCTGCAACCCAGTCATCCCCCGATGACCCTTTATGTTTCTCCGCGGCCCAAAGCAAACGTCGCAGGTCCATATCTGTCTGTACCGCGTACGGAGTACTCCGTAAGTCAAGACAAGACTGTGATTTGACTCGACGCGCCCGCCTCGTTTCCCATTGCCATTATCGCACCCCGCAATTCCTGGCCAGCTCCGGACCCTTGTGAGCTGTGGCTGCTGACATGGTGTCTGTATCCTGATACTCACATCGTCTTCGGTTGCTGGGTACCTTGAAGCCAGAGATGCCTCACATCATGCCCGCATCGCGCGGATGGCATCCACGGCATCTATGGCCCCCATGGCGTCATGGCAACGAGATATCCAAGAAGGACGATGACCTCCCCTTGCCCAGCCACTCCAACCGTGGCCGTAGCTACGGTACGCAGTGGCAATCCGCTAGAATGCCACGCCGAACCTGGGTTAAACGCCTTGCAGCATATGCGCTTGTCATAGTGTTTCTTGTTTACCTCTTCAACCGCGCCTATTCGCCAAGTTCGTCTGCCCTGCCGGGAAACAGAGGCGACCCCGACGCCGTCGAGGCTGCTTACAAGCAGCGCTTTGGTCCAGCTGGGACGGCGCATGTCGACGGTGCGCCGAAGAAGCCATCGTCTCCCCACCAGCCGTCACCTGCAAAGGTCGATGGCCAACAGAAAGGCATTTCATCGCCAAAAGAGCCTATAGATAAAGGAAGCAAGGAAGGTCACAACAAGCCTGACAGCGGCCGTGCCAAGCCTCCTCCCAAATATGACGGCCCAATCAGGTATCCCGCGCTGGCTTCGTCACTGGGAGCCATCGCATCGACCGGCGGAAATTCTCCCCATAATCGCAACGTCCTATTTGCAGCTTCCAGTCTCAAAAGCTCTTCTACCTTGCTACCTATGGCATGCGAAATGGCAATGGAGCACCTGAGCTATGTCCACTTTGCCTTCATAGGCACGGCAGATATTGCTATGCAGGACCTTCTCGAGGTCAATGGTATCGACAAGACGTGCCCGCTCATTTTACATGGTATGACCTGTTGCCGTGGGATCTTGTCTTGATCGCCTTCTAATGCCCTACGCAATAGATGCTCGCCCAGACCACTTCCAAATGTCGACTGAGAATCGCATGTCCTTGGCCATTGTGAAAGCACTGCGTACGTTGTTGCCCGCTCCACGATACTGTCTGGCAAGAATATCTGCCCGTCGCCAAATGCAGTTTTCCTCGCTTCACCGTCTCTGGCTATGTACCGCCGCCCTCCGGGTACTTGGTCACTATGGTTAAATATTCTGTAGCCCTACTGTGCTTTGCTCTAGATCGCAAGGATTTCCAAGCTAATACAGTCATCCTCAGATCTTTTTCATCTCTACATGCACCCACAAGCGATATTCATAGATTCCACGAACGCAGAAGAAAGCTATTTCCTCCGCGCGGTCCGAGACCAGGTTTCGTCCACGAAATCTGCTCTTGTAGAGCTACCCGAGCGTCCTCGAACAAGTCTCGCGTGGATCTCCAAACTAGATTCAGCAGCTCTGTCAGGTAAGTTCAAGGGCGCGTCGCATAGTTGAGGTAATGGAATTAACCGGACTGGAAATATTGTAGCTTGGAATGATGTTCGATTTGACATCTTGATTCATGCAACACCCACCGGTACAGCAAATCTCGAGAGGCTGCTCAGGTCGATTGCAAGGGCAGACTTTGCTGGTATTCAGACCCCACACATTACCGTCGAGCTTCCATACGTCTTGGATGCGCCGTTGGAGTCCTATCTTGCAAGCTTCAAATGGCCGCGTCCAACCCCGTCTGACGGACACAGACCACAGATGATTTCCCTCCGTCGCCGAATTACGCGACAGCTGATGGAAGAGGAAGATAGTTCTGTGCGCTTCGTCGAATCGTTCTGGCCAACTGACCCTCAGCGTTCTCATGTTTTGGTGCTAGCTTCTCATACAGAGGTAACGCCCCAATTCTTTCAATGTTCGTCTCCGACTCTCTCGGTCCAATACCCACCCCTGGTTCAATTCCTCACTGACTGGATATTAGACGTGAAATACTCACTTTTGTATCAGCTTCACTCAAATTTTGCACTGCTGGAAGATTACGACGCAGGCCTACTGGGCATCAGCCTCTCAGTACCAACTACGCTAATAGACGGAACCCAGCCGTTCACACCTCCCAAGCCACTCCGCGACGACAAAGACGGGTCGGGCGAGACGGCCTTCTTGTGGCAGCGACCCAACAGCGAGGCAATGGTGTTTTTGGGCGAAAAGTGGGCAGAGCTACATCACTTCGTGGCGCAAACACTCTACCAGAAACGGTCAATGTCTTCAACCCCCGCCCTGCTAGCAAAGAAGCAGGTCAGCAAGAAATATCCCGCATGGCTGGAATATGCTCTGCGGCTGTCACGCCTAAGAGGATACTTTACACTGTATCCCAGCCGAGAAACGGCGAAAGCTATCATCGGCGTGCATAGCGATGTTCCCGATGCACCAGAGGAATACCTCAAGGATGAATCGAGACCAAAGTCGCCCAACGACTACTCAGACAAAGTGGACGAGGACTTTGACCCAGTGTCTCCAGTCGACATGCTGGAGACCCTACCTCGCAATGGGGAGCTGCAATCGCCCGGCCACCTACCACTATTATCGTGGGATGGCCAGGCCAAGACGAAAGACAGCTTTGCCAAGGACGCAGCCGAGTATACTACGTTGTTCCGGAGAGAGGTTGGTGAGTGCGGGGAAGAGTATTTGAAAAATCCTCCCATTGCAAACAAGATGGCCGTGGACCTATTTTGTACACACAAGGCGTGACATGGTCTTTTGTTCTGTTTTGGTGCCCTCGGGTTGGGACGAGACGTGCTTGTATATTATTTAGTGCTTGTCAACGCACAAAGCAAAGCGAAACCAAGCGAATCAGTGCTCTTTTGGATTCAGTAAATAATTGGCTAAATGGGATACCTTGAAGTATTTGTTAGAATGTTGGATTTTCTGTTAATGCCTCGGCATATTCTCATTCACAGTCAAATGTCTCTTGCTAGAAGACGGGATGGGCATATCCGAATACAAAAGATCAAGTCCCTCCCTGATGGCGAATTCTGGTAATGACGAGTAGGACTATACTCGAGCCGATGATGCAAAAGGCCAATGTCCCCAGAATCTACACAATTAGTTACAGAGGCTCTTGACATCTCTCATACACACATCCGAACGTAGGTAGACGAGGTTGGGTGGATGCAGAAATGTTTGCACTTACCAGCTGTGTCCTCCACCCGGTCTGCACAATGGCCGCCTTCTTGCTATACTTGTTCACTGTTTCTACGCACATGATTTAGCTCGTCCGACCTCGACATTTTGCAGACTTGGCCGCCTCCCCGCCTTCTCCCCTTTTCCCAGGAAGGAAACTCGTAAAAAGCAAAAAAAGAAAAACGTACTGATGTAATTTGCCAGCCCTAGGCCCAGCATGACGACGCTGAAAACCCAAAAGATGGCCCCTAGAGGCTTGGATATGCGTCTTTCAAGATCCGTCGGTTTGGAGTTGAGGTGGAACGAGAGCGTGATGGCAACGGACAGGATGGCCATGAAGACGGATAGACGGAGGTAGGATAGGAACGCTGCGCAATTAGCCGCCGCCTTTATCTGGTGCTTTGCGTTGAGTTCCGGGGGAGGGGGGAAGGGGGGGAAATTACTCCGTTCATTGGCACAGTGGTCGCGCGCGTCGCTCGTCTCGTTTTCAAAGAGGAGCGGGCCGAGGAGCGGCCATGCGAAGAAGGCGGACGTTCCGGCGCGGGCG